CTTATTAGTGTTGGTTCGTGCCTATCTTCGGTGACCTGCAGCTCATACTCTGGTCGAGCTTTGCTGGCGCTTACCGCCTTAAATCAGGCAGACCGAATCCAAGCCTCCTAATTGTTGCATTGTGGGGAAGCTTTACTGATGTTAATTCGTGCCTGTCTTCGGTGACCTGCGGCTAGCCGCCCAGGTGCTCATCGCCTCACTAATCGGGCAGACCGAATCCAAGCCTTCTAATTGCCATGTTGAGGGGAGGCCTTATTTTTCTCTATTTCTCTATCTCCGGGCATTCCTACCTCTCCCATTTCACTTCTATCTTCCAGCATTCCCATTTCTCTTTTACTTCACTTCCAAACTTCTGTTTCTCTTATCCCCGCAGCTTCCCGGCACCTCGCCGCTTCAGCCCGCGTGCCTCTCTCATCTGCGCAGCTTCCCGGCTTTGTGCGGCTCGGCTTCGCGCGCTCCGCGGTCTCCACGCTTAACCCTTTCGCGTCTGAACCACGGCCTACGCCAGCGTTCCCTATCTATTCACGCCCCGTGCTCTCTCTACACGCGGCGGCTTCCGCGAGTAACACAGCGTAGCTTGTGTCTCCACCACTAGCATTCAATCCAAGTTCCCCGGGCTAGCCTGGTGAATTCAACCCAGCGTACGTCTCCGCCCCACGATTTGGCTTCCCGTCCTTTGCTCCCCGGGCTAATCAGACGGATCCCAATCTGGCTTACGTCTCAGCTTCTGGTTTTCGCCCCCTATTCCCGGGCTAACTTGAGAACCCCAAAGTGGCTTCCGTTTCCGCCTCGGCCTGCCCCCCACGGCTTCAATTTCCCTAACATTTTTCTCTACCCGGTATGTTTCCCCAAGCTTTCCTCCAACAATATTCCTCCCTCATTTCTCCTGGCCTCTCCCCACAGTCCGCATCCGAGTCTGTTTGTTCTAGCTTTCACTTTCGCTTTTGACCTTAGAGATTTCTCCCAGCTTCCCCCCGTAGTCTGTATCCGAATCTATGCCTAGGCTTTCAATAGCTTCTTCCGGCTCCTTTTTCGTCCGGCTTTTCCCTAGGCTGTTTGCTAGTCTCTCTCTCCGATATTTTCCCTAGTTCTTCCCGTTTCTTCCCTCCTAAGTTTCATATCCATCCTAGGTTTCCTATCCGAGCTAGGTTTCCTATCCGAGTCAGGTTTCCTATCCGAGTCACGGCACCATTATGTCGCTCCCCCTCTTCGTGGAGGAACGACACAGGACCCTGCCTAGGCTTCATATCCGAGTCACGGCACCATTATGTCGCTCCCCCTCTTCGTGGAGGAGCGACACTAAACCCTGCCTAGGCTTCATATCCGAGTCACGGCACCATTATGTCGCTCCCCGTCTTCGTGGAGGAACGACACAGGACCCTGCGCTGTTCTTTCATCTGCTCGGCCCTCCCCGGGTTTGCTGCTGGTTCTTCCCGGGTTGGCTACTATCCCTTCCACCTCCGTGGAAGGGCAGTTCCCCCTGGCCGCATTCCCCACTTCCGCAGGGGAGCGGCACACCGCCGGCCGGCTTTCTCGGGGGCTGCACAGGTTCCCTTAGATGTTCCCCATAGATGTTCCTGGTGCATGCCATCTCTCTCCTCCTTTATAGTCCTCCTCCGCCAATCCTAACTCGGCTGCCCACACGCCGAGTACGCTGCTCTCCAATCAGGAGCAAGTCCTACAGTTAATTGGTTGAACTGGAGGCAGCTGTGCGGAAGCTGTTTACTTCTCTCCCAGCGCCATATTGTGGGAGAGCAGATGCATAGAATAAGTCTTAATTCCAGTAACAGTCTAGTCCGGTTTGCTCCCCACACTAGAACAAAAAAAAAAAAATACTAAAATGGATAAATTACTGATGCCATAAACAAGAGTGTCAATTTGTTAAGTCAACAACAGGAGTCACTGTGCACTTACTCCTCATGTAGGATCTTTGTCCTTAGTGTGCTGTACATTGAGATTTAATGCTATAACTAGTACTCAAACAGTATTTTTCACTTTATGTTTCTGTGTGGGAGCAAACTGTTGAAATCTTTACTTAATGTGTGCTAAACTGATCTTCTGTATATAAAGAGAATCGAAAATGAATCTTGATGTGAATGGAAGGGGAGAGGGAGTGGGAAAGGGGAGTGTTGCGGGTGGGAGGGACGTTATGGGGGAGAAGCCATTCTAATCCATAAGCTGTACTTTGGAAATTTATATTCATTAAATAAAAGTTAAAAAAATTTAAAAAAAAAAGAAAATCCTGACTTTTTAGAAAACTAAATGTAATGAAAGAACCTGAGTTACATAATTTTTTAAGATTTATTTATTTATTTGAAAGACAGAGTTATAGAGAGGCAGAGGCAGAAAGAGAGCTAAGAGTGAGATCTTCCATCTGTTGGTTCACTCCCCAAATGGCCTCTATGTGCCAATCTGAAGCCAGGAGCCAGGAGCTTCTTCTGGGTCTCCCACGCGGGTGCAGGGGCCCAAGTACTTGGGCCATCTTCTACTGACTCCCCAGGCCACAGTAGAGAGCTGGGTCAGAAGCAGAGCATCCAGGACTCAAACTGGCACCCATATGGGATGCTGGCACTGCAGGCGGCAGCTTTACCCACTATGCCACAGTGCCTGACCCTGAACTATATAATTTAGATTCATGATAGTGTTGGATCCAACCAGGTACAATCTGGTGAATCGGGGTATTTGACTGGAAAGAAAGATGCAATTCACACAAGTCTTGCCTTGGCCTGGACCAAAGTAAGGATGAGAAATGTAGGTGCATACAAGATAAGGAACTGCTTTGGCTTAACGTGGTATGTATCTCTTGGCTTGTTTTTGCTTTATTTGTGTTATTGACTGCTCCAGTAAAGTCTGATTGGTGACTGCATTTAGCTGTGAATCTTAATTGTCTGCAAGTCTTCCACCTTTCTGGAGCAAAATCACCAAGTATCACAGCCTCCACATCCCTCTTCCAAAAACTAATATGCAGTTCTGGCCTTTCAACATCACTCATTGTCAGAGGGTCAAGGCAGAGGAGACGGACATGCATCAGAGCCAAGAGAAATCATTACAGGGTCCTTAGATACAACTGTGGGCCTCAAACCCCATCTCCATGTGAAGAAATTTGCACTACTGGGGCCAACGTTGTGGTACAGCAGGTAAAGCTGCAACCTGCATCCCCTATGGGTGCCAGTTGGAGTCCTGGTTGCTTCACTTCTGATTCAGCTTCCTGCTAATGGCCTGGGAAAAGCCGATGGAAGATGGCCCAATGGTGTGGGCCCCAGCCTCCCCTAAGGGAGACCTGGATGAAGTTCCTGGCTTTGGCTGTTGCCTCCATCTACAGTGTGGTGCAGTGCATGGATGATCTCTCTCTCCCTCTCTTCCCCCTCACTCTCTTTGTAACTCTGACTTTCAAACAAAGTAACTCTTTTTTTTTTTTTTTTTTTTTGACAGGCAGAGTGGACAGTATGAGAGAGAGACAGAGAGAAAGGTCTTCCTTTGCCGTGGGTCACCTCCATGGCTGCTGCGGCGGCGCACTGCGGCGGCGCACGCGCTGATCCGATGGCAGGAGCCAGGTACTTATCCTGGTCTCCCATGGGGTGCAGGGCCCAAGCACCTGGGCCATCCTCCACTGCACTCCCGGGCCACAGCAGAGAGCTGGCCTGGAAGAGGGGCAAACAGGACAGAATCCGGGACTAGAACCCAGTGTACTGGCGCCGCAAGGCAGAGGATTAGCCTAGTGAGCCACGGCGCCGGCAGAAGTAACTCTTAAAAAAGCAATTTGCACTCCTGAGCTCTCTCCTCCTTCCTATTCCCCAGGCATGAATTGGGAGGTGCCGTCCCTAGGGAAGTTAAGTTTTCTCACAAAAGGAATTCCATAGTCTGGAAGTTTGCTATCCTGAAGAATACTAAAATCTATCTTGCTTCCAATCACTCTAAATCAAATCTGACAATGCACAAAGTTCATAAGTAGACTCAGATTTCCCAGTTTTTAAGCTTACCTTATTCTAACAAGATAAAAGAAATCACAGACAAATCTATGAGGAAGCCTCCGAAGTACACACTGAAGTTTCCCTACAAAGGTGCATCCTCATAAAATTTCAAGTAATCAGGAAATGTAATCAGATTATGTTAAATTAAATTATATCAGAGAGATTCTTAAAATATTTTAAAAATTATTATCAGTACTAGGCTATAAGTAGTAAAAAATGTAAGGGAAACATATTTTCAACCTAGAATTTTATACCTCCCCAAACTATGTTTTACATGAAGCTCCAGTAATTAATTTTCCAAACATCGAAGAACCCATAAAATTCCTCTCACTTATATAATTATATGATGATATGTTCCAGCTAAACAGATTTTTAAACTTAAAAAGTATTAGATCTTTGATGTATCAAAACAGTCACTTTGAACTCTAAATAATGGAAAGCCAAATACAAAATAGCACATGCAAGTAATCATCGACATGGAAACACTGAGTGTTCTGTAGTCATCTGTGTAGTGTTAAAGGTCAGGGGTAAGTCTGGTTTCATCACAACTGATTCCTATCATCTTTTAGCTCACTCTCCTCTACTTGCAGGCCTAATTCTATTTCTCCTCTTGGCTGTGAGTGAACACAACAAATCAAGACAACATCTTAACGTCTCATGTCCCTGGGACGAAAAGGAGTTTCTTCTCATCCTCAACCCCCACGAAGCTGCCAAGAACAACAACAACCGAAGAGCATGAAACCTGACGGTACCTGGCAGAGCTGGTTTCTCAGGCGAAACTGAAACAAGAGGAATTAGCTAGAATAAATAGTTCAAATTGTCCAAAACCCACCTCTTGTTACGAAGGTTAGGTCAGTCCCACAGAAGTCACATTATCAGAGCATGGATTAACAGGGCTCCATGAGAAAACCATCATGGATAGAGCTAGGAAAGAGAATGGATGCCGAGGGGGCAGCAAATGCCAGACGTCCACAATGATTAAGAAACGGCCCCATAACTCTTATTTTATATTCTTTAGTTCTTTTTCCTCTTTATTTTTTCAATGTTTATTAATATAAACAAAACAGATTTCATGTATTTCACAGGACAAGTATATTACTGTAAAAATTAAAAGGAAAAATAAGACAGGAAGGGGGGTGGAAGTATGGGCAGGAGGGAAGAAGTATCCGTGTGCTCCTAAAGCGGTAGATGCAAAATTTGTTCACCTTGTATAAATGTTCAAGAATTGCAAAAAAGCAAAGGAAAGAAGATAAATATAATGCCCCCTCCCCAGGAATTTTTCCTGGATTCCAATGTGAGAGATATGTCATTAAAAGTTCAAAACAAACAAACAAAAAGAATAAACCACATAAATTAGTAAAACAACACACATTTTTTTTTTTGTTAGAGCACCATGCAGTAAGCAAAGATCAGAAACTCCAGTAAAAAGCAAAATTCCTAAGGGAACGATAGTCAATCATGACGTGCCATTTAACCTCGTAGTGAACATTATATGATCATACTGTTGTAAACACTCCATACTCATTTCCCTACTTTGTTGATTATACCACATTTTATAACTCATGGAATAATGAAGCAGAGGAGGTACTGAGTAGTGAAATACAACTAAATCCCTCTCCCTTACATGGCTGGGGGCCAACTTTCAGAACCCAAGACTGAGCAGCCTAGGTAAATGTGCTTATATGGGTATAATCACTGAGAGAAAAAGCTAAAAGAGAAGAAATTTGACGTAGAAGGAAGGAGACAAAGAAGAGATGAATTGCTTGTCATTAAAAGTCTTCCTGGGTGATTTTTTGTTTATCCATTTTCATGTATTGTTTGGCTAAAATTAAATGCATTTTTTAAAGAGAAGTTCAAGGTGTTCAAGATCAACTCTAAGTTTTTGAAGCTAAGAATCATTGTCAATAACTAGAAAAGATTTTTGTCTTTTGTCTGCTGAGCAAAATATGACCAAGAAATTATTTGGAAACAAATTGGTATTTTCCTCTCTTCTGATCTTTGGCCCAAAGTGTGTACAGTCCAAGTGCTGATGGAACTGATCAACAGCTGAACATGGAAAATGGAATTGATACGTGGAGTTTTGAGCCACCATGCATGGCTTTAATAGTTGGTGAAATGGAATAAACACTCAGGCCTACCATTCATCTTCTCACAAGATATTAGAAATTGCCTTAAGCAACAGCAACAGGGAAAGAAAATAAAATAAAGATTAGCTCATATGCTTCTCTTTATTTTTTTAGTTTAATATATTTGAAGGAGTAAAATCAGCAACTTTGTGAGCATGGAAGAAAAGTCATGAGAATGAGTGTGCATGGGGCAGGAAGGAGTGCCTGTGGCTCTTCCCCTCCCACCAGTGTGTATCAGGAGCACAGATACGTGAAGACCTCAAGCCTGGCAAAGTCCTGATTGTGGGCTCTACCTGTGTCTCCCGCACATGATCTGCTTCTCCTGACACCCAGTCCCTCTCTGAGCAAGTCTCTGCAGCTCACCACCTGGGAAATGACTCTACTCATAATATTTTGGCTATTTGTGGTTCTGGGAACAGAACTAAAAAGAGAGAGAGAATGGACAAAAAATGTTGTGATTTCTGGCATTACTAGCTGCAATTAATGCACTTGATGGTTTATTTTTCTGATCATTAATCTACTTTCATATGGTGGCATAGGTCAGTTCTTCAAAATACTGATTTTCCTGAAATGTATTTTAATTATTGACTGTTGAATTTAAATACTGACAAATCTGGATGTACTATAAAAACTGGACAACTTCCAAATTTTAGAGTGTAATAAAGGAAAAGTACCATGCATTTTATTGAAAATAAAATTTCACTAACAATTACAGCATGGATTAATCACTTAAATAAAATTCTAAAGCTAATTTCTACAACCCATTGGTTTCATCAACAACTAGACCCCCTCTCCCTTTCCATGTTTTCATTCTCAGCATAATGACTTTAGCCTAAACTAAAGTGGCCGTGGGACCATCTCTTTATACAACTCCAGGGAATATGTTTTTATAAAGGTTTCTACAAGAAGGCTTATAATTGCTTTGATTTTGCCTCTAGGCAGGTATTATAGTAAAGAAAACAAAAACATGTTGTTTCAACTTATGACTCAACATTGGATTTTCTTATAAAGCAGCTATTTATCGATAGCCACAACTTGGAGATAATATTTTTATCTCTGAACATAAGCAAATAGGCACAGGAATCTGCCCTCCGGGTCACAGTGCCACTTGCAATGCCCACATCACAGGTCTCAGTGCCTGGATTCCAGTTCCAGCTCTGCTCCTGATGCCGGCTTCCTACTCAAATGCACTCTGGGAGATGACAGGTGATTGCTTCCACAGTTGGGCTTCCTGCCAGCCATGGAGAAGACCTGGATTCAAATCTCGACTTTCAGCCTTAGCCCAGCTCATCCCTGGCTGCTAGGGGAATTCGGTGAGTGAGTCAGCAGGTAGGAGCTCTTTCTGTTTGGCTCTTTCACCGTCTCCTTGCCATTCAGATAAAATAATTTTTAAACAATAAGCAAATAATAGTTTCTTTATTATTTATCTAAATGATACTTATTTAATTCAATTTTAAGTTTGATTTATAAAATAATTCTAAATGACAATTCTAGTAACTGAATATTTTTAGAGATCATCATCATCTCCAAGTATTATTTTTATCATCTAGGTACTCTGTTCATCCATTTAACCATTAATTCATATACCCATTAATACAGTCTTCTGTTCACTCAATTAAACAAGTGGTAACACAGTAGAAAGGCAACATGATCTAATGTTTAAAAATATGGATTCTGGGATCTGGCATTGTGATGTAGCAGATAAGGCCACCGCCTCTGATGCTGGCATCTCATATGGGCACCAGTTCAAGTCCCAACTGCTCCAGTCCTGATCCATCTCCCTGCTAATGCATGTGAAAAGTTGTGGAAGATAGCCTAAGTGTTTGAGCCCCTGCTCCCACATGGGAGACCTGGATGAAGCTCCTGGTTCCTGGCTTCAGCCTGGCACAGCCCTGAGAAATAAACCAGTGAGTGAAAATCTCTCTCTCTCTCTCTCTCTCTCTCTGTGTATGTTTAAATAATAAATAAATCTTTAAAATGTTGATTCTGCAAGAAAACTGCCAATGTTTGAATTATCTCCTTGGTATATCACTTAATTTCTTTCTATCCAAGTCTTCCCATCTAGAAAATTGGGTTAAAATACACTTGATTCATGGAGTTATAAATTTTGGGTGTCAGTGTTAAGTAAATTATAAGTGCATAGCTCCTAGTAATTAATAAAAATGTGTTAACACAAATAAACAAATGAGTGTATACTGTTCAGAGAAAGGGAACTGCTGGCATAAGTGCTTCATTGAGCTGTATCCATGTGATTCAAAATCATAGGCCCCAAAGCCACGATAGAAAACTGAGGGTACATCAGAGTAAAACACATTTCTAACATGACCCATAGGAGTCACAGTAGTCACAGACTGCCTTTTGCTGCCTGGACTGTAGCACCCAGTCTTGATCTTTGTTTATTCAAATAGATTCTGTCTTTAAGTACCTACTCTCTATTTATTGATTTCTAAAGATTTTGCTTCCCTTGGTATGCTAAACACTAGCTTAGAAAGTTTTCATCCAGTGTTGGGTCACAGTTCAGGTGTGACCCACTAATCTGGTGTCTAATTAATTGGGAGAGCATGACTAACATACTAAAATAAAAATTAGAGTAATATATTATAGTATAAAATGGAAAGCATTGGCATGGAATGTATCGAACAGAATGGAATCAAATTGAACACACTATAATACAGAACAAAGAAACCTGAATAATGCAGAATTATATAGAAAAACAAAGAATGTACACTGTGGTAAAAAAAAGTACCTTTTCAGAAAACATTTTTTCAGTTATATATGAGGGATGCAAGTGTGTCGACACATGTGTGCTTGTAAATGCTTATATGTTTTATATGTGAGACGAATGTGAAAGTGCCAAGGCAAAAAGGTATTTTTTATGTGTGTAGCAGTCAAAAGGTTGAAGGATCCTCCAGGGTAAACTTCAATCTTCTGATTTCCTGTACAGTTGGGAAGAGGATTCTGTATCTCTTTTTAAAAAAGCAGATTTCTTCACTGGAATTAACAAATGAAGATAGCACCCTGTTTGGAGAGAAACATGATTCTCATGATTACTAATTTTCTAAGCCAATGTAATTATCAATATTATTTTTAAACCAGCTAATGTCTGAATTCAAGTAAGTTGCTTTGCTCCATGATAAAATATTAATATGAATATTGATTTTCTTTTTTTTTCTCTCTCAAAAATATTTGGAAATTAAAGTAAGAATAGGGGGCCGGCGCTGTGGCTCACTTGGTTAATCCTCCACATGTGGCGCCGGTATCCCATATAGATGCCGGGTTCTAGTCCCGGCTGCTCCTCTTCCAGTCCAGCTCTCTGCTGTGGCCTGAGCAGGAAGTGGAGGATGGCCCAAGTGCTTGGGCCCCTGTACCCACATGGGAGACCAGGAGGAAACATCTGGCTCCTGGCTTCGGATCGGTGTAGCTTCGGCTGTAGCAGCCATTTGGGGGGTGAACCAAAGGAAGGAAGACCTTTCTCTCTGTCTCTCTCTCTCTCTCACTAACACTCTGTCAAATAAGCGAAAGAAAGAAAGAAAGAAAGAAAGAAAGAAAGAAAGAAAGAAAGAAAGAAAGAATCATTATATATCTTGCAAAATGGACAATTCCTAACCAGGTAAGGGAGAGGAGGACGGACTATTATGGCAAAATCATGCAGACCAGTGTGTAGTTCAGTAGGACTTCCACAAATGTCACATATTATTGAAGGAAGACTGATCCAACAGTCATGCTTAGGAGAAGCAGGCACATTTGTGAATTGCTGGTGTGCAGGATGTGCAGATTAAGTGAGTTTGAATATACTTAAATGCCTATCTGAAATTGTAAACACTTTTTACTATGTTAATTTTTTGAAGTATGCAACATTTATTCTAGAAATATAATTAATTTGATTATTATACAGTTTCTTTTCATATAAACTTCAATTGCATAAGTTTTGAAAATTTGTGAACCTATTATAAGATATATTTGTTTAAACAGTTTAGGCTATTGTATCAAACTCAAAGTCAAGTTAAAATGGTGAAGAATTAAGGTCATATTAGCAGTGATAAGTATGTGATACTGTTCTAAGTGCTTTACATATAAAATATCTTGTAATTAAAAAAAGATTTATCTATTTGAAAGGCAGAGTTAGAGAGAGAGAAAGAGAGAGAGCTGTTCCATCCACTGGTTCACTCCCCAGTGTCTGCATGCAACAGCTGAAGCTGGACAAGGACAGTCAGGAACCTGGAATCCATCGGGGCCTCCCATGTGGGTGACAGGGCCTCATGCATTCCTGCCATCTTCTGCTGCTTTCCCAGTTCCTTTAGCAGGGAACTGGGTCAGAAATGAAGCAGCTGGGACTTGAACTGGTGCTCTCATGCAATCCTGGCATCACAGACAGCGGCTTCACAATGCTGCCCCTCATATAATTCATAAAATAATTACATGAGATATGGTTATGCTCAGTCTACTGACAAGGAAACTTAGGAACAAAGAAATTAGACTTCACAAGATCTTGACAATTGTTAAGTACCAGAATCAGAAGTTAAAGCATAGGCTTTCTGTTGTATGTTAACCACCACACCACATTCATGAAACTATGATTCTCCATACCACAGGATACTATTTAACATTGAAATGGAGCTAACTACTGACTTACACAGTAACAAGGATGAATTTTAAATGTTTTTTACTACCAAAGGAAGCCAGACTAAAAAATCGGCATATTGCATGATTCTATTTATATGAAATTTTGGAAAAGACAAAAATACAGGGGCAGAAAGCAGATGAATTATTTCAGAAAGTTAGGAAATAGGAGGTATTTAGGATATATGCAGAGGATTTTTAGTTCTGTACATTAGTGAGATGGTTATTATATGATTACATAGTATCCTTATAGTCCAGAAACATGACATGACAAAAATTGAATTTTAATGTTATATATTACTGTATATTTCATTAATTATTTTTAATGATTGTTATATATTCAGTCTAGTGTACAAGTTGGGGTTCTCTAGAGAAACCGGAATGCGCTTACACAAAGCACAGGGCCTGAAAAGTCCTAGTATCTGCAGGATGAGTCAGCAACCAGGAGACGTAGAAGAGCTGATGGTTTCGTTCCTGGCTGTGTCTGAAAGCCCACGATTCAGGAGACCTGACAGCACTGCTCCAGTCCAAATGCTAGAAGGCTCGACTCAGAAAGCTGATGATTCAGTTTGATTCTGAAGGGAGGGGAAAGAGGAAGATCAAAACACGCCCAGTCCAAAGGCAGTCATGCAGGAAGCATCCTCTCCCACTCACTCAGGAAACAGACAGCCTCTTGGACTTTATTTTGCCTTCAACTGTTTGGACCAGGCCCATCCACATTAATGACATAATCAGCTGATACAAAGATAAATTCATCCAAGGATAATCTCATCCACAAACATCCCCCCAGACACACCCAGAATCATGGTTGGTCAAATATATGGGAACCCTGTGCCCTGGATAAGCTGACACGAAATTAGCCATCGTGCATCATAAGATTTTGGGGTGGAATTTAGATAGTGACAAATGAGTCTCCCCATTAGGGGAAAGGAATTGCATCAGTCACTTTAAAAGTGGCATTTTGACTGGAAACTGAAGGCTAAAGAGCAAAGCAATTGTACTCCGTATACTCTAGATTGCACTTATCATGCGGATGCAAATTAACAGTTCTGAATCTGCTGTACCTATGCACTGGGGCTAAACACACAAGTGAGCGGTTTCTCAAGTTTATCTCTGCTGTGGCCAGAAAACTAAAATGGACCTTGTGGTACGGATTAGAGTTGCAGACATTAGTGTGGACTCTTATTTAGCGTAACATGTGAAAGGTGAGTAGATGCAGCAGCAGTTAGAGTCACGTGTATACATGAGCTAGCTACACACATAGATTTCCGAGACGGGGTGTCCCAGGACAAAAAGAGCTGCGTGAGATGTTACGTAAACTCTCAAAAATGTAGAGGAAGCCAAAATGCTTTCCGAGGGGGGTGATTTTGTCACTGATCTCAGCTAACATTCCATATGCAAATACTGGATACTGTGATTCTCTTTCACCATTATATTTTATTTTAAGCACTGTAGTGACGATGAAGAGGAGCCTCTTTATACTTTTAATTTATGTTCCTTTGATGGATAATGAAATTGAGCCATTTTTATACATTTATTGATTATTTGGATATATTGTTTTGTGAGATTCATCCTAAATACTTCATTTTCCTGTTGTTTTCACTGATTGATTAGCTTGAGAAGATCGTTGTTACAGCTTTTGCACATAGCTTATGCACCTCTGTGGCTTGCTACCTTATTTCTTTCTTTGAGTTAAAATGATGTTTTAGTTAAAAATATTTCATTTTGTTGAAGTAAAATTTTATTAATCCTTTTATAAGTAGAGATTTGTGTTTAATCAGTAAAATTTGCCAAATATGTAAGTTATAAAGCATTCTATTATAACCCATTCCAGAGGCTTTATCAATTTCCTCATTTTTAAGTCTTCCTCCTGGATTCAGTATTCGTATATGTGTCGGGCAGAAATCAATTATCATGTTTTCCACCTGCATGTTTAGCCCGTTTCTTTGTAATAAATTAGATGTTAATGCCTGAGTGGATCTGTTTCTGGGCCCTATGATTAGTTTAATTGGTAGAGTTCTCTCTCCCTGTGCCACAACACACTGTATCAATTACAGAACTTTCTGGTAACTCCCAGTATTTGGGAGATCATAGTGTCCCACTTCCTCTCCTTCAAGAGGGTCTGGGAGAGCCCTGACCTTTTGCATTTCTATATAAATTTGAAGACATTTATCATTGTCGCAAAATAGTTGAGATTTTGAGTTCATCTGTACTGGATTTACAGACAAATTTGTCAGCTTCAATAAATATATTTCACAGTTTTCTAATCCATGAAAATGTTCAATATTATTTTAAGAAACACCTTCCCAATGTTGTATCAGTAACACTGTGCTGTTTTCACCACTAGAGTTGTTCATTCTCTCTGGTTGGAGTCATTATTTGACAGTTTTGGTAGTATTAAGATGCTATCTTTTATTACTGTGTGTTTATGTATGAAAGCATGTCATCCTATTATTTTTATGCATAAATAAAATCCTGGTGTTGAGTTGTATAGGTAGTGATCTGTTTTACTGACTTCTCAATTTCCTGATTTATTGACAGTTTTTTATAAATTTATATTTATGCAATTATACGATCACCACATATTGCTAGCTTTATTATCCCTGTTTAAATCTTGCATTTTATTTGTTTGCCTTTAATTAGGATTTCCAGCACAATATTAATTTACCAAGAAAATTTTAAATAGTTTTCACTGAAGCATGCTAACCACTGCAGCTTTATTATTGATATATTTATCAATTTAAGGTAGGTCACTTTGTCAGTAATTTTCTTTTATTAGGCTTCATCTTTGAGATTTACTCATTGATTAAAATGAACATATAGCTTTCTACCTTTTCTATTAATATGAGGAATTGCATTGATTAATTTAAAGGTTAAACTAACTTTGCATTTATGTTACTGAGGCAAGGTTATGTTTGTTTACAGATTTGGCATTCATTGTAGAAATTAACCCAAGCCAGTTTCTTGTCTCAGTCAAATAATTTTTCAGTTACCTGAAAAATCTCTTTTGTAATTCTACTTAACAGCAACTTAAAGGTAGAAATTCCCTTACACAGATAGACACAGTGGGATCTTTCATCTTCTGTCTCACTTCCCAATTGCCTACAACAGTTGGGGTTAGACCAGACCAATGCTGGGGGTCAAGAGCTTGATCCAGGTCTCCTGTGAGGGTGGAAGGGACCCAAGTTCTTAAGCCATCACTTACAGCCTCCAAAGGTGCACATTAGCATGAAGCCAGATCATAAGCAGAGGAGTCAGAACTCGAACCAAACACTCCTATATGGGATGTGAACATGTCAAGCAGTGTCTTAACCATTGCACCAAATGCACACCCCAAAGCGCATTTAACAACCTGTGTGAATAAAGAGATTAAATCCATTAACAGATGATGTATTTTCCTTTAAAATGAATATTTATAGAACTATAGTACTCCACTTCTCTTCTGATTTCTCATTTTTCTGCAACCATAAAACATCCATTCAATGACATCCTATCCATGTTTACAATTATTTTTGCACTACTTCATTATTGATTGAGGTCAATAAAAATAAAAGTTTCACTGTATATTGTTTACAGAGGATATTTCCATTTCTTAAGCATTTCATTGCATTGATGTTGTTGATTTATTATGCTTTACGCTAGCTAACATATTTATACACTGACAGAATGAAGCAGATTTTGGACCTTGTTCAGAGTAATGGGAGAAGCCAGAAAGACAAATTGTTAGAGTAGTGCTAAGATGATCTCTTCTCTCAAAGGGTTATAGTTTGAAGGGGTTGATTTGCATCTGAAGGGAAGTACAGCAAATCATGATGTAAGCCATTGACAAATCTGTGCATTTTTATGACAGGAAATTCAAGGAAAGTGAAGGTTTCCGATGGCAATGTTCCTGAGCCCTCACATCTGCCGTTCTCTTGGCTTTTCCTCTTTTCCTAAAGAATGGAATTCTTCATTGGCATGGCATCTTCAGACTCAAAACTGCAAATGAACTGGAGCATTGCTTTTGAAACATAGCTGTAATCAAGGAAGGAAGACTTGCGTGGTAACAAAGTCATAGAAAGCAAGTAAGCCTCCGTCTAATATTTCTCTTGAAGATCAAGGAAAATTTCCTTACTAAAAAAATGCAGTCTCCTGTCCAAACCAATAACTGGCAAAGTTTAAGACATCATCATCATCAATTTAAATATTGCTTGAATCAGATTCTGAACAAATAAATGAGTATCTTCGTAGAAATGAAGTTAATATCAACAAAATGATGAATTAATGATGGTCTGACAAACATCTAGGACTGTGTTTCTCTTTTGACACAAAAAAAATCTATTCCTTCTTTATCCTACTTTAAAACACATGCTTACAAAAATGTACTCACACAAATACATTTATCCTTCACAAAATCCCCGTGTCCTCCCCATTTTCCCATTTCACCTTTAGACCCAGGGTTTTGTGGCCCTGCAAAGCTGTCTCTATGAAGTTCAAACTTATTCCTAGTGTTTGCTTTTCTGAGGGGAAAAAGACAAACTGTTCTTATCTAACACACACAATATAAAACAACAGAAAGAAGGAATCAGATAACCAAACAAACCGACATTCATTACACAGAGAATGGAAAACAGCACATATTAAGTTTACATGCTGATTGTTCCACCACACACATCAGGTGCTTTCAAAAAGAGCGAGGAACCTCACCGCAGTCCTGGTGGGACAAGTCTGACACTTCAACTCCTCCTCTTGATTCTTTGCTCCTGGCCAAGAGTAGACTTTGGCAGGGGCATGTGGCTTCACTTTTACCAAGGAGAGGCGAGAAGGTACTCACCACCGTGCTGAGGGGTTCACGCTGACATTTCCTCTCAGGTAGAAAACAGACCATGGGAAAAACAGAGACACCTGAAACGTGCTGGGAGGTGATGCCGGAACCGTTTTAAAGACACATTTATTGAATATGTTTTCTATCACCACAACCAACACCCAAATTAGAGAAAATTTAGAATGCACACATAAGAAAAAGTAATATCCATAACATCAACAAGTTTTGGAGTGCATCCTCCTTATTTTTAAAGATTTATTTTTATTTATTTGAAGCCGAGAGAGAGAGAAAGAGAGAGAGAGATAGAGAGAATCTTCCATCCACTGCTTCACTCCCCCAGATGGCTGCAATGGCCAAGGCTTGTTCCATCTTCCAGGGTGTTTCCAGGCTATTAGCAGGGAGCTGGATGGGAAGTGGATCAGCCTGGACATGAACTGGCATCCATTCAGGATGTTGCAAATGGTGGCTTTATCCACTATGCCAAGTGCAAGTCCCTGGGAGTGCAGCTCAACTCCTGTTTTCATATTCTTTTTTCTAACTCCAGAGCAACAATTCAAATATTCTCAAATTAAATGATATATTGACTTATAGTTGCTTCCATATTGTTGCAAAGCTTAGGGAAATAAACCAGTTCCCACGGCAAATTCCATATGTTTCACTGAATTTGTGATAATAAATATACAGAGCACAAAAAATATAATGTATATCAGTGAAATTGACATTTTAAATTTTATTATTGTTACAGCCCTTGTCTATACTCTTAGGAACAGCAGCTTCCCTACTTACTACTTGCTGAATTCTTTATTTGATTGAGGGTTAAACTTGTGATTACAAAATAAACTGAAAGCTATCACTGTAAATATTCAAAGAAAAAATAAGAAAGGAAGGAAGAGGGAATGTGGAGCATGTTGGGGAGAGAGGAGAGGGTGGAAAGTATCACTATGCTCTGAGATCTGTATATATGAGATACATATTTGTTCACCTTATATAAATAAAAAATAAAAAACATACATTGACTACCGGCTTATGAAATTTAGCAAGTCCCAAAAGTCACCACATGGGATGGGGTGAGGGTGATCCGCACACACACAGCTTTGTGAGTCAGCAGGGCACTGAAATGATGAAAACCAGAATCTGGACTAACAAGGAAGATGTATATGGATGAATGCAATTAGGAATGTAGAATTATATACTTAGCCAGATATAATTGATGGTTGAGAGTAGATTTAGTAATTTTCAGAAACAAAAGTTATCAAAAATGTACCCACCCATTGTACATTTTATCAGAAATCTGTGAGTTTAGAATAAACTCCTGGCTTCAGATTGGCCCAGCTCCAGCCCTTGCAGCCATTTGGGGAGTGAACTATGTTAATTCTTTATCATTTAAAGGAAACAAAAGTTTTTCTTTAAAAATAAAGTATATGAGCATTTTTATAATAAATAATTAATCAACAAATGCATCCCGCTTCTTAGAAAACATTGTCATTCAGTGTCTTCCTAGCTTATCTTACGTATTTTGTCACATTTTTAAAAGAACAAATAGATATTCATGTAGAAATTTATAAAGTTTTTAAAGTTACAGATGATCAAATAAGATACTACGGTCCTTGAAAACTAGCATCCTATAAGTTGTCTTTTTTTTTTTTTTGACAGGCAGAGTTAGACAGAGAGAGAGAGAGAGAGAGAGAGAGAGGTCTTCCTTCCATTGGTTCGCTCCCCAAATGGCTGCCACCGACGGGGTAGTGTGGATCCGAAGCCAGGAGCCAGGTGCTTCCTCCTAGTCTCCCATGTGGGTGCAGGTGCCCAAGCACTTGGGCCATCCTCCACTGCCCTCCTGGGCCACAACAGAGAGCTGGCCTGGAAGAGGGGCAACCGGGACAGAATCCGGCTCCCCGACCGGGACTAGAACCCGGTGTGCCGGTGCCGCAAGGTGGAGGATTAGCCTATTGAGCCGCGGCGCCGGCCATAAGTTGTCTTCTAAAAGTGAATCTTCTCCTGAGCTTTCTACCTTGGTTCTCTCTTACAATATATAGTTTTGATTTTTTTAAGGATAAGTCAAAATGAGAAACAAAATCTGTTTTTTTGATTTTAGGGTAAATCAAAAAAGTAGGTTCTCAATATATCTTATTTGATAAATTTTCAAGCTTCTTTATGTGTATGGGTGTGTTGGGGTATGTATGTGTCTTAGCTTGGAAATTTTCCATAACAAAATACTGTCAAACCTGGGGTGGGTATTGTGGTGCAGTGGGTTGGGACATCTCTTAGAGTAGCTGCATCCCATATCAGAGTGCCTGAGATCAAGTCCTCCCTTCTCCTCCACTTCCAGTCCTACAACTTGCTAATGTGCCTGGGAGGCAGCAGATGACAGCTCAAGTAATGAGTCCATGTGGGGACCAAGATGGAGTTCCCGGCTCCTACCTGTAGCTTGGCTCAACCTCAGCTTGTTGCTGACATTTGGGAAGTGAATCAGCAGATGGAAGCACTCTCTCTCTCTCTCTCTCTCTCTCTCTCTCTTTCAAATAAATAGAAATGAATACACATTTTAAAAACTAGTCAAGGGGCTGGAGCTGTGGCATAGTGGGTAAACCTGCAGCCTGCCATATGAGCGCCTGTTTGAGTTCCAGCTGCTCCACTTCTGACCCAGCTCCCTGCTGTGTTCTGGGAAATCAGTGTAAGATGGCTCAAGTCCTTGGGCTCCTGCACCTATGTGGGAGACCCAGAAGAAGCTCCTGGCTCCCTGCTTTGGATTGGCACAGCTCCAGTCATTGCAGCCTCTTTCTCTCTCTGCCTCTCCTTCTCTCTTTGTGTTAACTCTGACTTTCAAATAAATAAACCTTTAAAAAACAAGAAAAAAAAACTAGTCAAGGGGCCAGTGCTGTGTCAAGTGAGTAAAGCCACTGCTTGCAGTGCTGACATACCATTGGATGCCAGTTCGAGTCCCGACTGCTGCACCTCCAATGCAGCTCTCTGCTCTGCCCTGGGAAAGCAGTAGAAGATGGCCCAAGTGCTTGGGCCCCTGCATCTACGTGGGAGACCCAAAAGAAGCTCCTGGCTCCTGGCTTCAGATTGGCCCAGCTCCAGCCTTTGCAGCCATTTAGGGAGTGAACTAGCTGATGGAAGACCCCTCATACACACACCTCTGTTCTGCCTCTCTGTAACTCTGCCTTTCAGATAAATAAATAAATCTTTAAAAAACCTAGTCAAATCTGGTTTCAACTGTATATTTTTATGTAATGTCCTATAATATTTCTTTATAAAGATTGAGAGTTGTCAACAAATTTACATCATACAGAGTAATCAAGCAAGTGCAAATTCTCTCTTCAGTTCAATATGTATATCAATACATAAACCAACTGATGTGTATGCATAGCCAGTCATGCTGAGTCATATTGATGATTGGAATTTTAAGATGAATTGAAAGTATATCATAGAAAGATGTATTAAATTACAGTAAAATGATGAGAAGCGAATGACTTTGAGAGTCTCTATTAAAGAAATGGCAGTTTTTGAGATGTCTCAAAGTACTTTACCAAAATAAATCATAATCCAAGATACATCAGTGGAATACTTCCTTATTGCCTAAGCAAGTACAGACACATTATATTTTAATAATGCTTTTAGAACTCTATCCCATCCTCCATTTTTTTCCTCCAAATTCTGCTTCTGTGACAGGCTTTAATTCTACATTCAGGATTCCAGAAGAGCAGGTTTTCTTTTCAAGCATCTCTATCCATATGCATGCAGTTACGAATCCTGAGTTGTATGCCTAAAATAAATGAATATGAGTCAAAGGTATATACTAAGAATACATTATAAAAAAATCTTTATTGCTAAGAGCAACTGGAACAATGTGTTCCCTCTTTAAAATAATATACAAGTTTTCTAAGAAAAGGCAAATCCTTTATTTCACAGAGATGAATAGAATTATACTTAAAAGTTAATTCTACACAAATAAGATATTATTTTAATATATGAGCATTCATTTGTTCCATAATTATCAATTAGTTCATCTATCTACTCTTTTATTTCTATCTCTACTTTAATTTATGAATCCTCTTTCCTATTTTGATGGATCAAAATTATTGGGAAATAAGCATTCTTTTCCAAAAATAAACCATCTATTCTATTAGCAAATTTGCCTATTTAAGTTGACCTTGGTTTTCCAAAACATATTTCGTGACTGTCTAAGAAGGATTATTTTAGTTCAACACATTGGCTCTCCATGAATCAACCTGACCTTCTTCTCTCACTGCCTTGCAAATCTAATGTCGGTTTATTCAATAAAAAGTCTTCTTGAAAAAGAAAACAAAAACTCAAAAAGAAGACCCTTTATATAAGAGCTTTGTTCTTCCCTGGAGGACTTTGGCATTTGTAAAATAATTTGGAAGGAAACAAAAAATGAAAAAAAAGACAAATGTCTGCTAAGGTTATTGTCATGACTAGATATTTATGCAAATAATAAATGTGGCATTACCTTGACTATCCCCTGAATACTCAGGGATCATCGTAGTATGTGTTGCAATGGCTAAAGCTGTAACATCTATTGTAAATGTTTTCCAATTTTAAAGACCTGGGTGTGGTTCAATAATTGTGACAGATACTGATATAAGATGTTAATAGGGGAAGTAAGTCGAAGGACTTAAGGGGACTCTTTGTACTACTACCTCACAACGTTTGTTTTGTAAATTTAAAACTATTCTGGTGGTCCCCACTATGGCACAACAGGTTAATGCCCTGACCTGAAGTGCCAGCATCCCACACGGGCGCCAGTTCGAGACCCAGCTGCTCCACTTTCGATCCAGCTCTCTGCTATGGCCTGGGAAATCAGTAGAAGATGGTTCAAGTCCTTGGGATCCTGCACTCATGTGGGAGACCCAGAAGAAGCTCCTGGCTCCTGGCTTCGAATTGCCATAGCTCCAGCCATTGCAGCCAGTTGGGGAGTGAACAATTGGATGGAAGACCTCTCTCTCTCTCTCTCTCTCTCTCTGCCTCTCCTCTCTCTGTGTAACTCTTTCAAATAAATAAATAAATATTTTTTAAAAAACCTGTACTGAAAACATATTCAAAAAAGCTATAAAAAATTTGAAATGAATTTTCAGATTGAGTATAAGATGTTCATTGGAAACACCACGGTGGGTATTTGGATTTCAGGAAGAACGTCTCATTCTAATGTGGAGCAAAAGGAGACAATAGGTGTGAATGTAACCTACTATCTACTTAGTGTGACAGAATATGAGAGGACCAGGGTAAAAATCTTCAAGAACAATTATTATTTAATTTAATCCTCTCAGTATTTTTTCACTTTCGAAATAATTTTGAGGGCATATTTTATCCTGCATCTAAGTACGGTACCATTGTGTCTACTTGGCACATTAATTTTTTCTATCAGTACACAACAGCATTTTTAGTTATCCTTTCCCTAGGCTCTATTTGCCTAATTTTAAATTTTAATCCCAGTTTACTTCTTTCACTTGGGTATCTTCCACCACAGTTTTTTTCAGTATCTCTTGCTCAGTGCTTGCGCTATCATCTGCTGCCTCCTAGACATACTAGCAACTTGCTGGATAGGAAGTGGAAAGGAGAGGAAGGACTTGATCCCAGGCACTCTGATTTTAGGATGCAGCCATTCTAAGAGGTATCCCAACCCACTGCAAACCTTACAGATAGATGTGAAGTTTTCATATTTTATGTTATGTTTGTATAGATATTAGGTTATTGATTGTATAGATATTAGAGTTCTTGCATAAGAAGTGTGATGTAACACATTAGTCCCTTAGGACTAGCAGATGCTTTGGTTATGATTTTTACATAAAGAAAAAACAAAAACAAGAAACCGAGCTCTAGTTGCTCTTCTCCACGTAAGTTTATTGATAGGTCAAATTTTCTTAATGTTTGCATCTTTCTTTAACCAGTCCCTGTCCCCAATCCCATCTTACAATATCTATGTCCTAATACTGTTCTTGGTCCAGGGCATCCAAGTACTTTTATGGTTGATCAGCCCTACAGAGATCAGGTGTGGAGTAGGCTGGAAGACAGCAAGCTCCTCTGCCTGTCCAGCACCCCACAATGAGGCTGCACCCTGGGATCCCTTGATGTTACTCTCAGCTTCCTGTCCACCCTGATGCTGTCTGAGCTGAAGGGTGGCAACAGCACAGATGTGTCAACCATATTTATGAAAGATGGTCTCGACAAAATCGCAAATCTCACACGCTCTTCTGAAATGTGATTGGGTCTCTCTCCTCTTAAGAGAAAAAAACTTTATCTGACTCTCTGAATCTGAATGTGTACTATGACTGGTTTGGTCAAGGTATGGCAGAAAGATAAGATGCCACGTCTAGCTGTACATTGTTACTTTCTTGTAGAAGTGCAAATAACCTAAGACTACCATTTTGTGAGACACTCAAGCTGTCTGTCAAACAATGGAGGAGGGGCTGGCACTGTGGCACAGTGGGTTAAAGCTGCCATCTGCGATGATGACATCCAACATGGGTGCTGGTTCAAGTTCTGGCTGCTCCACACATTCAATCTAGGTCCTTGCTAATGCACCTGGGAAAAGCAGTGGAAGACAGCCCGGGTGCTCAGACCCCTGCCACTCATGTGAGACACCTGGATGAAGCTCCTGGCTTTAGCCCAACCCTGATGGCCATGGCCATTTGAGTGTTTGAGTAGGAATCAGCAGATGGAAGACATCGCTCTCTCTTCCTCTCTCTCTCCCTCTCTCTCTGTGTGTGTGTGTGTGTGTGTCTCCCTCTCTACTAACTCTGCGTTTCAAATAAATCTTTAAGAAAAAGCATTGGATGGTGAGATACTGTGAGAGGAGGGAGACTGAGAGAGCAGATGAGTGAGTGACAGAGAAAAAGGATCATCGAAGCATCAGGCTCACTAAGATACTAATGCAGCCAACCTGGAAGTTGATCCTCAGCTCTGGCTACACCAGTTGCTACCACAAGGGACAGAAATAAGCCATCCATCCAGACCCTGCCTAGTGATTGTCTTAACACAAAATCCTGGAGTAGTTTGTTGCATGGCTGTACATTCCTATAATAGTATTTGGAAGTGAGCTAGTGCTCCCAAAATAAAAGGCTAAAACAAGTGACATTGGCTTTGGAACTGAGCAGGACTTGGAGGTTTGACAATTCTTAAGACTGCTAATAGAGCTGAAAAGACAATGCAGAACTTGCTACCAGGAGTAGGGGGAAATTGGCATGTATAGTGATGGAAAATTTAACAAAAGTGTAGAAAACAGAAAAATAAGCAGAACGATGTGAATTTGGCTAAGCCATGCTAGGGGGAGAATGCCAAGATACTTCATTTACTTGTGTATGAGGACATAAAATTAAACAAACAATACTAGAAATGAAATTGATCACCTTTCAAGGATAATTCAAAATAACAGGACCAAGATCTTGTTAAGATGAAAATAAAAATGTCATTTCCAGACTTTCCAGATGGCAAAATACTATAAAGATTAAGAAACAACTATCAAAAAAAAATCAAATTCAGGGTATAACAAATGAAAAAGAGCTTCATGATTAAGCTGAGATCAAAGTTTAATATGACCCTTAAAAATTCATCAAGAAAATACTAGTCTTAAGAATATTAAGATATCGTTTGAAGAGTCTCTTGTCTAGGCAAAATATGACAACTAATATTCTTGAAGGCTTTTTCCATTGCCTCTAACTCCTAAACAAAGACAGAGAGGGGACTCTCCCAAAGACTTGTGAATATGACTTCTTACTGATGTACGACACTCCAGTAACATCTACTGGAATCCCACAGCGTCTTTAGAAATGTGTATTGACAGAAGCATCACAGCAATACAAGGAAGAGATAACAGCATTATTAGGTTGCTCCCCCTTAGCAAATGCGTCCTGAGAGTCCTTGCCTTCTCTGTCTAGGCCACTGCTCACTCAAAGCCCCTAGCCTTCTCCAGTTTTTTCAATCCAAGAGACAAAATTCTCTCTGTTTAATAGTTTCTCATGTTATTTGTATTAGTTTTGAGGTTGGCTTGAATGCATGGCAAGCCTTTTTGCTATGGTTATTTTAAGCCACAAAAACATGGTTGGAGGATATGAATATAAATATTAAAATAGATACACTATTTATGTAGCTATAGATATAGGTATAAATCTCATTCAGCTACCTAGAGCCCTATGAAATTGCTGTCATACACTTTGACAATAATAGAAGTTCTGATCATAGTTAATTAAACAGAGCAATATTTATATATGTTATGGCCATATATAAATATGCTAAGTGTTCTTTATATCAGTGCCATTAACTATTAAATAGCTCCATGTGTTGTTATTTCTGTCTTACAGATAAGACCATGTAGATTAAGAAAGTTTAGGTACTTATTATATATTTAATGATTTACAGACCTGAGATTCAAATGAAACTATCTTGAGTCAAAGGCTCTTACCTTTCTACGTATGACATTTAAACACTGTATAAAAATAAGAATTGCCATTTTTTCTAGCAATTCAAAGTAGCATTCTTAGTTTGGATATTGTATGTAAAACAACTCATATGTTCACTTCTTACACTGAGTGTGTGCTTATATAGTGTGTGCTTCACCATAACACAATCATCTTTGCCATCTCTCATTTTTCCCTTCTAGGTATCAAAAAAGTTTCTGACACCTATCCTGTTTACTAAAATGTACTTGCTATTTTTCAAGATTATTCTTATTTTTTCTTTCTTGTTAACCCTCATGGATACTTATGTGTCTAGCAGCAGCTCTGGAGGCAAACACTCCGGCTAAAACCGAGTAGATGGCAAAACACATGTTATTGGGCATTTCCTTCAAACTCAAATGAGAGGGTCCAAAATGAGTGGAAAGTTTATATGTTTTTCTAATAAATTAGAAAATATGGAGTTCTAAAGTTGACATTGTGGAAATCATTGCAATCCTTCTGGTTTAATTTTCTTCAGTTTAAAATAGTAAGATGGGATAACATCAAGGTTTGCTAACTGAAATGTATTCAGAGCCCAGGCAAATGACTGCTAACAAATCATATCTATATTCTATGTTATGAACAGTGCGAACTGATGTCAAAAAATTACTAGAAGATATGTGAAGCTGTGTATTGCTACAAATAAAATGGTGAAGTGATGTGAATATTCCCTACAAAGTTTTTCCAAAGTGGTTGAGATGAGAGAGAGTGGTGAGCTATCAGCCACTTGTTCTGGTTAGAAAGGCTGCTGGTATTTAAGAAAGTTGGTCAATTGTGAGAAATTAGGAGTTTTAAAGGAAGCAGGAATTATCCAGGATTGAATTAATTATTCAAAAGCATCAAGTTATAATCCTTCGGTGAAAAGAACTCTGTTGTGCTTTTCAATTATAAATTAAGATCATATTAAAGGAATTCTTTCTGATTTTAGCTCAAAATTAACTCAGGTACTCAACTCAGTACTTGTACTCTGATCTGGTGATAATATTTATTTCTTGTAAAAGAAAATCAGGTTTCTCATCCTACAATTTCCAAGCAAAACCCAAACACTTTTCTAAAATAAAATATACAAACTTGTATCCCATGTATGTAAAACACTCATTTTCCCTTATCTCTGTGTTAAACTGTTAAATACTCACTCTGCTCTGAGGACTGTGCTGCGACAGCTTTGGGAGGTTCCTTTAAAATGTCATTGCTTCCTGCCATTTTCAGCAAACTTTTTTTTTTCCCTTTTCACTCTATTAAAAAGTGCCAATTTAGAAGGAAATACAATTGTGGCAGGAGTCATGAATTGAAGATAGCACAGTAATAACTATAATAAACATTTACTGAATTCTAGAGAACCATATAGAGAAATTAACTATATATGTCAGAAAATTTTGTTGAGGACTATTATTTTAAATGTGAATTTACTAGAAAACATTGATGGTACTTTTCCATAGATTTTGAAACTTAATGTAACTGTAATTAGTTGGCAAAAATTCTACTGCTGCATTGCTGCTTTCTGAAATTGTATCATTTTGCAACTTGGTCTACCAAAAAACTGCAAACAGAGCTACTTTATTTTCTTTCTTGTTTTACAAACATAAATGAAAACTTTTAAAACATTTCCTATGCCATTGCAAGTATAAGAGAGAAAGGACACTAGGAAAACAGTAGATTAATTTGTTCTAAATGATCAATACTCTCATTAAACATTTACTTTCATGCTCCAACGTTGGTTTCTTGCCTCAAAATATATTTCAAGAGTCAGAGATAAGTTCTGGTCTACATTCACATTCAGGCTCATTTCCTTCTAAAAAATTTATTTATTTATTTGAGAGACAGAGAGAGAAAGAGAAATCTTCCATCCACTGGTTTACGCCCTCAAATGCCCACAATAGCTGGGGTTGGCTCAGGCCAAAGCCAAGAAGCCAGAAATCAATTCAGGCCTCACGCAGCACACGGTAGGGACCTGTTTCCTGAGCCATCACCCACTAACCCTCGGGGTGTGCAATTGCAGGAAGGATTACAAGCGTATCCAGGGCTCAAAACCAGGCACTTTGAGAAGGAAAATGGGAGCCTGAAGCCCAAGCAACTAACCCTGCAATAAATTCACTCCCAGGATGATTTTCAACAGGAAATCTTGGTTACTGTTGTTTCTCATATTCACATATCAACAAACCATAGCATGTGATACATCCTAAATAGCCAAAGCCAGAAATCTTGTGTGACGCTATTAACAAAAATTATGTTTAATACATAATTAACATTCACATATCTGAGTTAACAATGCTAAGAAATGTTTTCTTTATGTTCATTGACAGACATTTTGACACTGACTATGCAAATTTACTCTTCATCTTAACTTGTATTTCTGAATATGGTTACATCCCTTCCTCAACTAGCAATGGGAACTTGTGTTCTCCCCATGAAGACAGTGAGTGAAAGCCGTGATGTGATTCTATTGCAAACACAGCTCCTGTACAAGCCTCTACCCTACAATCTCAAGATGTATCCTCATAAATGTTCCTTGGATTGCGTTTATTTATAGAATACCAGTTAGTAATTAGGCTGGTGCTGACAACAATGTTGTCAATTAAATATCTACCAGAGATGAAAGTTTCTAAAATGTCACTTGATTGGTGAATCACTGAGTCAATTTTCTCCACCTCAGATTTCCCCAAATAGAGACAGCATTACACTGTTCTTGGAACAGAACTGCCACTTACTATGAAACAAGGATAATCACTACATGCCTGAAGGTGCTTGGCAAACATTGGCTGGGTTAATGCAGTGCTGTGGATGCTCCTGCCCACAAGAGGCTAATATTCTTGTGCTATTGTAAAATTAAAATGCCTGCACTTCTAAGGGAACCACATTTTATGTTCCTGTAGTCATGATCATAAAATATCTTGCTTGGCTTAAATGTAAGATTTCTGAGATTTTGTCACATATTTTGTTTCCTGAAGAATTTATACTCTGACAGAATATACCTACAGATGGTTAAAGAGAAATGGCCTCATCAAAATACCTAAAACTGACTTCCCATTACAGTACTACAGATGACTTTCAAACACACTACAATATTGATGATGCATTATTTATTGATTTTTATAAAGCAATTTAATCAGTTTTATATTGTTGGGTTATTAAAATGGGAAAAACAGACTTTATAACTCATAACCATGTAAATGAATCCAAATGTTATTTAGTGATTTAAACATCAATGCAATAAAGAATGTGTCAGAAGTATTTCATTTTAGTTTTTTTTTTTTTTTTGGTAACATCACATTTTAGCAATGGAAAGATAACTTTTAACATGATACCAATTACTGCAGTTGAATTAATGATGATTTAGTGGACTTGGGGTTTTACTGTTTTCTATAGAGAATTGAATGTGCAAATATATGTATGTACAAAAACTGCATAGACGAATACTGCGTACACTTGGCTTGTAAGAGCAAGCATCCCATATCATTTCTTTTTAGGGTTTGGAAATTTTGCTTGCATTGTTATAATGATGCAAGTTCAAAAGAAGCCAAAGACACTCCAATTACCACTCCTGTCACTATTTTAATGTTAACTCAGAGAAATGGAGGTAAGGTCTTCCAGGGCAGCTAGAAAGGCATTAGTAAATTTAAAAATTTTAAAGTGGGCAGGTTGTGTTATTTGACCACATGTGTGCAACCTTTCCTAGGGGAACCTGAACTTTTACCATACATTGAGAAGGAAAAAACTGCAGGCCCCTGTGAGGGAGGAAGCCCTGCTCAGCAAGGAGTGACTCTGAGACTCCAGGTGAGAAGGCAGCTTGCCAAGAATGTGGCGGATGATTAAAGTCTGCGTGCCTGAAGGAGGAGGAGCAGACTCCTCTAGGGGAAAGTCGGAGCTGCAAGCCAGGGAGGCGAGGAGCCAGGCCTCGGTGTTGGCCCGGGCTCAGCCCTTCTTATCAGAGCGACCTGGGTGGGCGATGGCCCTGACCAGCCAGGGTTCTTTACTGTTAAGTGATCGCTATGGATCTCAGCCCCTCGTGCTGCCCAGGATGGAGCTGGACAGCAATGCTCAAGAGGCCACTCTGTGAGAATTTCTTTTCCAAGAAAGGTGTGGACAGAATGTCAGAATCCTTTCTCCTCTCCCTGGGATTCCATTCCTGATTCCCTGTCCCTGTCCCCTCCACCATTACCCCCACGCCTACCTGCAAGCAGAACTCTGCAGAACTCACAATGGCCACTTCCTTGGCCGAGTCACCAAAACCCTGTTCTGAGAAACCTGCCTGGGTTGAGTGGATGCATTTAGCCAAAAAAATGAAGATTTGCTTCCTCTAATCGCGGGTGAGAAATGCAGTCATTCTCCGTAAACACAATTTTGCACGCTGCCACTGTTTTGTGGAAGCACTTTGCCGTTTTCGCAAGGAAGGCACATCTGGGTAGGAAACCCAGCAGCCCTCCAGTCTTGCAGAACCCAGCTGTCACCTGGAGGCGCTGGCCTTTCTTCAGGATCTACACCCTACACAGGTGACCTGTGTGCAGGTTAGAAGTGACAGGTGTTTGGGTGGCTCACCCTCTCAGGGCCGCGGGTTAACAGACTCTGGGCGCTCCGGCCTCTTTACAGCTGGGGTATTCCTCACTCCAAGGCACCTGCCCTCTCCCCGACCTCCCCCTCTACACCACAACCCCACGGCTCCGCACCTGCGGCCTTCACGGGCACCAGCGTCTCTCGGGGGTCACGGGAGCCCCCCAGGACCTTCTGCCCTATGTGGATGGGCAGGCACCTGCCGGCGCCACTCGCCCTCACCCTGCTCCCTTTAGTCTGGCTTGGAACTCTGCTCTCAGACCCGGGCTCTGGCTGAGTTGGCGCTCTGCGGGCGCGCGCAGCCCTCTCTCTCCCTTCCATCCCCCACACTCGCGCCCACCCACCCACACTCGGAAGAATACACACAACCCCTTTTTCTCCATCGCTTTACCCCACCGTTAGGACTGGAAGCTGCCTGGAGACCGACGCGCCCGCAGCTTGGTGACAGAAGTCGTGTTGCTGAGTCCGGGGCTCCTGGAGCCCCTCCGGAATCTGGAGGCCAGGCGCGGGGAGAGTACAGTCACCTTGTTATCCCCCACTCCCAGGGCGCCGACCTGAGTCCTCCGCCCTCTCCCGGGCGCCGCTCTGGGGCAGACGCGGGCAGGACCGCGGACAGCGCCCTCGCTCCCGCCCGCCAGCGCGCGCCCACTTGAGCTCCCGGCGCCGCCGCAGCAGCAGGTGCCGCGAAGTCGGGCTGGGCTGGGGGCCGCCTGCAGCTCCCTGGCCTGTGCGCTTGCCCGCCGCCTCTGTGGGCCCCTGGTTTCCTCCTTGGCCTTTGGAGGCGACTCCCGTCTTCGCAGCGCAGGGTCGGTCTGCGGCGGTCTCCCTCCCTTACTTCTTCCTACCGCCATCATCCTCGCCTGGGCTGTGGAGCCGGAGGCGCTGCGTCCCCGGATGAGAGCCCCCGGGGCGTCCCAGACGGCTGGGGCTGGGGCGAGGGTCGGCCCCCCTCTGCGAGGTCGCGAGATCCGGCGCGCGCGGCCGTGGCCGGAGCGGACCGAGTCCGCAGAGGCCAGAGAGGGCGGGACGGACTGGGGCGGGGAGGAGGTACCGGGGCGGGGAGGAGGTGCTGCGGCAGCGTCCAGGGGGGGACTCCCCGCACCCGCGCTCCGGCGTCCGCGACGCTGCCCAGCGTTGACCGCTCTCTCCCGGGCGTGGATTCGCGTTCCCCGAGCTGGGGTTCTTCCCGCGCCGACTCTCCCGCAACTCCAGTCCCCGAGTTCAGCGCGCCGGGCGCGCGTGCCTGCCTGTGTACGTGGGGCTGGGGCTGGGGAGAGCGGGAGTCGCCGTGGGGGTTGGTTGGAAGGCCCTACACAGAGTGGAAGGGAAAGAGCAAGACGCTCGCGTCCACGCAGGACCCCTTTGAGATGGGCGAAATTCTCGTCGGGTCCGCAGAAGAATCGGGAAAGTTTCCCGGCCGCGTGGTCCTGGGGCGCACCCCTTCCTGGTCGCCCCGCCCGAGCCCAGCGCACGGGGGACCGCAGGGGTGGGGGGGCAGCTGTCGCAATTCCTCTCCCTTAAAAAAGTACAAAGCAAGCTCCAGAGCACGGGGGTGGGAGTCCTCGCAAGACCCTCCCTCCCTCCCCCCTCCGGAGGGTCCCACTTGGCATCCGCTGCCACTTCCCCAGGCCTGGCAGCGCGGCTGATCCCAGCGCGGGCCTCACCCCTCCCCCTGTCCCCGGGCCCCGGGCGCGTGCGATGTCCTTGCGGCCGCCGCCGCGCCCCATTCCGCCGCGCACCAGCCCACGGGGCGCCGGCAGCGCGCGGACCTGCCCGGGGCCACCCGGGCCCGGGGGCTCGCGCCGGGGTCGCGCAGCAAGGGTCCGGGGCTGAGGATCTCACCGAGAAACTCTACCCATCACCCGCGCCTCCTCGGCCTATTCGGAGCAGGGCACTTATCCCGCTATTGAAGAACCTACCCTTCCTAACCTCATCGCAAGAAGGATCTCTTGCACAAGTACCTTTTCCAATCGCATACATAACGGGATTGAGCGCCGCTGAGAACGCTGACAGCACATCCACATTCCCAAAATGACCCAAGTAAATTC